ATTGGAAACTGAGTGGATGCTCTTCAGTTGGGGAATGGCTGAACCAATTGTGGTGTATGATTGTTATGAAATACTGTTGTGCTATAAGAAATGATGATGGAGGTCATTTCAAAAAACATGGCAAGACCTGTATGAATTAACGCGAAGTGAAGGGAGAAGAACCAGGAGATTGTTGTGCATAGTAACAACAATGTTGTAACGATGATCAGCTGTGAAAGACAGGCTACTCTGATTAGTACTAGCTACTCTGATCAGATCCAAGACAGTTCCAAAGAACTCATGTTGAAAACATGCTATCTGGGGAGAGGTGAGGGGGGATCGAGAACTGATTAACTTTGAGCGCAAATCGAAGTATAATTTTCTCACTTTATTTTTCTTGCTTTTTAAAAAATATGGCTAATATGGAGATATATTTTGCATGATTTCACATGTATAATTGATATAGTATTGCTTGTTTTCTCAGTGGGTGGAGGAGGGGAGGGAGGGAGAGAATTTGGAACTCAAAACTTAAAAAGAAAAGTGCTAAAATATATTAAAATGTTTTTCAAAAAAGAAAGATTGAGTAACTTATGGCACACTTAGAAAGAGGTACATAAAATGCTGTCTAAGCAAAAGGCTGATTCAAAGAGAATAAAACTCTGCAGGTAGAGTGACTTCTTGAAGCCAGGTACTTTTTAATTTTTGTTTTTGAATCCTCAAGCATGAAGCAATGTTCCTGGCATATGGAAAGCACTTAATGCTTTTTCATTCATTCTTTACAAACCAATAAATGAAAATTGTGCTATGTTATGAAAATATACAGCAATGAAGAAGGAAACCCCCAATTTTCTCTAGTTATTCATGGTTGAAAGAGGTGAGTCTAATTTGGCATTAAGATATTTAAGTATAAAAATCAGGAAAGTGACAAATTATTTGACTACTAAATGCTTAGTAGATATTGAGGAATATACTATATATACCTCTATCTAGAATTCTTAGGATTCTCAGTTTGACATCAAGTTTCTCTGGTTGTAATGATCTCCTCTACCTTTTTCTGGGTAATTAAATACAGTAAGTTATGCTTAGCTTTAATGGCCTTTTATTCTTTTGCCACCACCCAAGTGATTATCTCGAAATCTTTGGAGAAAATATCTTAATTGGGCTTGATTCCTCCGTGCTGCAATTGAGGAATGGCTTTTGGTCTTAATTATTTCTGTTAGTTACTTATTTTTTATACATATTTTAGATATCAGACCCTAAATATCAGAGATATTTTATGTAAAGATTTTCTCCTCAATTTACTGCTTGCCTGTTTATTCTAATTATGTTAATTTTGTTGGTGCAAACTATTTTAATCTCATGTAATCCAAATGAATTTTTCTTATCTTATACGAATTCGACAAACACTTGAGTACTTACTATGTGCCAGGCTCTGAGCTAGTCAGCTTAAAAGATTAAACTATAAATAAGTTATTGTTCCTGCATTTAAAGGACTGACATTTTTGAAGTTTTCTGTTATTACATAGCAGAAGATGTGAAAGTGGGAAGTACCTAGACATGTGGAACTAGTTGGCAGGAATTGGCCTGGATGCCTCTGCCAGTTCCTTGGCTATATCATCCTTGTTTGATCAGGACAGTGTTGGATGTGATGTATCCAAATTGGCCACAATTCATATTCCTGAGTTCAAATCTGGATTTAGACATTTACTAGCTGTATGCCCCTGGGCAAGTCACTTTATCCTGTTTGCCTCAGTTTCGTCATCTGGCAAACCACTACGGTATCTTGGCCAAGAAGATCCCAAATGGTATCACAAAGAGTCAGACGTGACTGAAACAAGTGAACAACAACAGTGATGACTTACGTTTCTTGGGCATCTCTGTGTCATCTTTGGTGTATGTATCTATTATTGACCTCTGGTGCTTAGTGGAATAAAATTTTACAATGATGACAATTGTGTAAGTCAGAACAGTTGAAGCAAGAAAATCTCTAATAAACTAACTCTTGCTCCTTACTTGTCCCTTTTCTTGTCCTCTCTTTCTCTTTCAAATTCTGTTTTTGGTTCTACTAATGGCTCCAGCAACAACCTTAATGTAGCTGTTTCTGTCTCCACTTCGACTTTCAGACCTACCCCAGCCCCCAGTTTCATATCTGCTTTTTGGTCTCATCCAGCTGTGTTGTCTAATTAAACATAGGCCACTTATCAGAGGAAGAAATGTCTTAAATACCTTGTCCTAAATCTTATTTGTGATACTTAATCACTGATTCATTCAGCAGACTTTTGCTAAGTACTTTCTGTGTGCCTGGCACTAAAGATGCAAAGACAGAAGATCCCATGGCCTTTGCCCTTGAGGACCTTACATTTGATCTGGAGAGATATATACCACATACACAAATATCTCCTAGATCATTCTTTCTCTCTCTCCCTTTCTGTGTCTTGTTATATGTATCCATAGTGTTCCCATTGTGCTTATTATTTGATTATGAAAAAAAAATCATTTTATCCAGTAGGACGAAACTGTCTTATAGGCCCTTTTATGAGGTATTATCTATTCATAAGTCAAAATTGTTCAGGGTTCCTTGGAATACATAACACAAATCCTTCTGTTCAGTGACCCTCTGCTAGTAAACTTGAGTGGGGTTAGAACATCAAATATGGAGCTGTATATTCACCAAAAAGATGGAAGAGATCTGGGGGGCAGAGACTGGATCACAGCTAGATTCTTCTGTTTGTTGATGGGATTGTGCTGCTTGCATCAGCTCCTGAACATTATAGAGCCTCTTCAAAGAGAGCTGGAGTCACTCAGGAGGTTTTCCTATCTACCTACATGAGAATGACCAAGTGAATGAAGAATGCTTGTTTTCCTCTTTCAACATGTATTTATTTGGATGAACACTGTATGGAAATTGTTTTACAGTACCTCTATCTGCCATAGATAGTATGGATAGGTAATGACTTGGCCCAGAGATGAGCAAGAGGAGGGAAGCAGACTGGATTGCTTTCCAAAAATTACAGAGGTTTTTTATTGATTCCATGTTTTTTATGAAAACAAAGGTCCATCTTATCAATAGTAACATTTTATTACTGTTGTGACATGGTAGTGAGAACTGAAGAACTAAAAACAAATATAATGCAGAGAGCAGTGGAGAGGCACTTGGTGGATGTGACGAGACTGTAACATAGAACCAGTGAGGAATTCTAAAGAAGAAAAAGAGGAAAGATGGCAAAGAATTGTATGTTTGAAAAAGAAGGTGGCCTGGCCACATGATGATAACCATAGAGCTTTGGTGGTACCGTGGTGTTGTTGAGAAAATAATAAGGAAGGTCTCCTGTATGGTGGGTAGATACTTTGTGTGGAACTTTTGAGAGATCATGGACAAGAGTTGAATAGGATTGGAAGGCATAGATTCAAAGGTTGATTGTGTGCATCTGTGTATGTCTTTATATGTAAATGTAGCATCAACCTGTGACTTCATTGCTGCCTATAGCAGGGAGCTTCCAGTTAAGTGACTTGATCGAAGTCACACAACCATTCTATGTTAAAGGTATAACTTGAGCCCAGGTAATCCTGATGCCAGGACCTGACCTCTGTCCACTCTGCTATGCTTCTCACATGTTCGGATGGATTCATGATCTCATTTATTTGTGAGTTCCCTCCCATAATGTCACCTGCTGAAATTTGTTTAATTTAATTTTTGTTTTTTCAGTTGACAAAAATCTGGTTTTTCTCTTATTTCTCCACTTCCTACTGAAAAAAAGAAAGAAAAACAAAGTCCATTTAACAAATATACAACCAAAACAAATTCCTACATTGGCCACGTCTAAAAATATGTCTTCTTGTACACTCTGAGTCCATCACCTCTCTGTCAGGCAATAGGTAGCATAATTTATCACTAGTCTTCTGGAATTGTGAATACTCATTGTCTTGATCAGGGTTCTTAAATCTTTCAAAGTTATCTGTTTTTACAGTGGAAGCCATCTTTTTTTTCCTATTGAGTATGGCACCCCCCAGTCTCTACTCCTCCATCGAGTTTTCTGACTCAGAACCCAGGTGGAGGGTTGGGGAATGAGAGATTCAGCTCAGTAATGAGTCATAATGTGCAAGAAGCAGGCAGAAGGTATCAGAAAGGGATGAATACAGACATGATATTACAAAAAAAACAAGCAAACATGATGGCATTTAGGAATATCTGAAAGTGGAATGGGCTTCGTTGGGAAATTGAAGGTTCCCCTTCAATACATGTCTTCAAGCAAAGGCTAGGTGATCCTCCAGAAGGCATATTTTAGATGTGATTTTTGAATATATGGGATGGACTAGATGCTCTCTGGCTCCTACCAGCTATTACAGTCTATGTTTTTATAATAATCAGAGTTGGCAAAACAAAATATCTTATTTCTTAAAAGTCTCTATTTCTTTATTTTTATTAGGCCACGAAGAGAATCTTAAAATGTAAAAAGTTCTAAAATTTAGCCTTGCAGCAACTGCTTTAGCATAATTTAGAATAAATTAAAGGAGTAGTATTGGATAATATTAAATATTTCATAAAATGAATCATTTTTACCTATACCATCCTTTAGAAGTAATTAAAATGTTTAAAAGTATTGCTCCTTAACCACTTTCACATGTTTATCTCTTGTGATTGTTTCCCACATGATCCCCTTTTATGTATTCATCCAACTCTCTTGGGATCATTTTCATGTGAATATTTTGCTAGTATCATGATTTTCCAGTGTCTTTTTTAACATAATTTTCAGATTTTTCAAAGTGATATAATTTCCATTTTAAAACCCTTACTTATCTATGTGTTTGAAAAAAATTCAAGGCACTCTCATGGTACTTTTTAATGGAGAATATTTTAGGTTTATTAATCTATAAAAATAATATGTTTGAAGTTGATATAAAATGAAGGTGGAAAAATATTCAAACACAATTCAGCATCCTATCATTTAAAATCCTGACTTTATTTCAAGTTATTATTTCTATTTGAGGTTGCTTACTTTTTGGTTTTGTTTGTCTTACAGTTGGGTTAACAACTTTGGCCATGAAGGTCTTGGAGTCTTGTTGGATCTATTAGAGAAACTTCTGGATAAAAAACAGTAAGAAAACATATTTGTAAAAATTACCAATGGAGAAATTTTTAGAAAGCAGTATAAAGTATTTCTTTTTTACATTTAGGCAAGAAAGTATTGACAAGAAGAATCAGCATAAACTTATTCAATGCCTGAGAGCATTTATGAATAACAAGGTAAGATGAATTTACATCCACAGCTATTTTTCTTGATGTGTCTTCCTTAAAGCATTTTGATACACACCAATATGCACAGATAAAAAGGGTCCTGTGTACTGTGCTTCGTTACAAATTTAATTTAGGTTTTTCCCTTTTTAAAGTTATACTTTGACCAAAATGTAATTAATGTTTCATTTTTAAAGGACATATGTTATCAAGTGGCATACATAAGTGAATCTATGCTACTCTCATTTTAGATAATCCTTTTTATAGTAATGAGTTAATATTTGTGGAAAAATAAAATGTATAGCCAGTAATATTTCTAGAGCCCTCTTTTTGTTTATGACTTTGTGAGGTGGGGGGGGCGGGGTGGAGGATGGGGAGAAGCAAATCCAAGTTTATGGATCCTTGTATTTTCTGTTGGCTCATTTGTCAGGACCATCTCTGCCTTAATACTTCCCTGTGTCAGATGTTAAATTGATGGCAGTGAGTTAATGGGTCCTTGCTTGGAAAGAATATTTCTAGAAGATTTGGGGAGGGAGGAGCTGGAGTGAGTGGTGATTGCATGTGTATGTCCAATGTGAATTACATTTTCATTGCTTAATGAATTTAAAAGAAATATTTGTCTTTTTAAAAATAGTCTAGACTTTTAGTAGTTTGAAAGAGAAATATAGTTTGTTTCTTTTTCCACGGGCCATTTTAAAGTTATTGGCTTGGAAACTGTTTGCTCTCTATGCCTATAGGTGAAATATCATTGACTAATTCATTTAATTACTTAATTCCCTTCAGATGGTGTTTTAATAATCTCAAAATACTTAATAGAAATAAATAATTGTAGTGATAACAATGAACTTGCCAAGTGTGAAATATAACTATTAATAACTAATGCAATAAGATAGTCCATTTAAATAATCTGTAAGTGGTGTTCATAAAAAGCACAGATTTTTTTTCATAAGTATTAAAGACCACTCTGCCAACAAAGACAATTGCAAAGAAATGAGAAATCCCAACTGAGCACAGAATTTCTCTACTGATAGGTTACTAATGGACCTTTCATAACCCTGGGTAGCAGAATGCTACTTGATCCTCCTTATAGCCTTTTCCAGGAGGCCTGTCATGATTATAAAACAGTTTGCTCAACTCTACTGTATGCTTTGGTGTAATCATGTCAAAATTCATGACAAAGAAAGCACCGTTCTGTCTATATTTGGGTGCCCTTGTTCCTATGTGTTCAGCCAGTAGCTGATTACATTAAAAATACATTCTTCTTGGCCCAGAGAAGTCTGGATAGGGAGTTCTGGTTTCCATCACTTGCGCTGACTGTTGCCAAATCTCTCCAGTCTTTGGGATTCCTGGATAGTTTTAATCAATAAAAATTATTCATAGCAGAAAATTAGGGCCATGTCCCTTTCCGGAGCTTTTTTCCCCTTAAAAAGTTATGTTGACATATATGACCTTTTCTTACAGTTTGAATTCTAGAAACATCCATTTGTCTGACATGATGCCAAGTGGAGTCCATTTGAAGTTGAGGCATACTGGTGTTTTCCCAGTTACTATCTGCTCAGTTAATAAATCAGTTTTGTTTTAACTCAGATCTCCAAATCGATCTTTGGCCTCCTTGATGCAGATATTCCTTCCAGTAATGCAATGGTCAGCCCATCCATGCCTGCCTTTGCCGTGTGCCTCTTCTCCCTGTTCCCCCACTCAGTTCACCCCAAAGGCAGAATGCTGTAGGCAATAGAGAGGTAATCTCACTTTCAGGAAGACATGGATTCAGGTTCTGCTTCATCCATCTCTTGCTCATGTGACCCTGGGCCAGTCGCTCAGCTTCTCAGTGCCTCAGGCAGCTCTCCCAGGCAAATGTTGCCCAGAACTGGTAGAGGGTGTTTCCTCACTGGGCGTTCCCCATACCAATGAAATCTCAGGTCTGGCTTGAAAAATCTTTAAGAAATGCTTTTCATTTAGCCAGGACCTGTTGTGATGATACCCTAAGAAACTGCTTAGATTTTCTTAATTATGTCATGTTATGATATATATTGTAATGTGAAGTTTTAGTTTTTAAATCAACAATTTGAATATCACTTTTTTGGATTATGCTTATACTATTGAAAGAACAAATCACTGGAAAATCAAGTGATTTTCTTTCTGAATTCCAATTTTCTTTAAAACACTTACTTTAACTTCAGTAACTGCCAGTGACTCATTCATTTTGACCTGTACTTTTCTCATTTCATCATCCCCTTTACTCTGCCTTCTGTCTTACTACTTAGCTCCTCCATTTCCTTTTTTTACTTTCTCTGTTTCCTTACTTCAAATGATCTGTATGTGAAGTCATTGCTGAACACTGTAGTGCTTAGATTTTGGGCTTCACAGCCTGACGTTGGCCTCCACGAAGAATCATAGCATTGTATGTGAAGCCTTAGACACATTTTGTAGTTCAGATCTTTAAAAAATTACATCTTCAGTCTTATGACAACCATACTTTTGGAGAATCTCCTTGAAAAAAAAATATATATACAGGCATGTCTAAGAAATGAAGGAAAATGGTATCCTGCCTCACTTAACCTAGTCAGCTGTGGTACTTGAGAAAACCCAGGAGTTATTTCCTTGCATTTCATAATTTTTAGCATAATACAGAATTATGGAAAGATGCGTGTATTTTATTGCTTCTTTGGCTATTATGTACTATACAAAACAACCTTTCAATTTCTTTTTTAATATTTTTTATTATGAACTTATTAGTCTTCAGCAAGCATGAACATTTCTATGTATAAAGACAGAAAGAAGATGGCATATAAAACCAAGAATATCTACATACAAAATTTTTTTGTGGTTTAAATTTAATATGGTAGTTCTAATACTGCTCTTTTTGTCTATGACTCCTTCTGAAAGTTTTTCTGTTCTCTTCTATGTATTTTTGAATGTTTCATTGATTTTCATTTCTTTTTTCTATCCATTACTATCACTATACCCCACTCTCCCACTGTTGTAATGTGAATGTGTAAATTGTTCTTCTGGTTCTGCTTACTTCATGAACTCTGTTATCCAAATTTTCCCATGTTTCTCTAAATCTTTCCTTTTGGTTATGCCTTATAGTACAACCATATTTCATTGCATTCATATGCCATAATTTATTTAGCCTTTCCCCAATTAGTGAGCATCTAAACATTCCAATTTCAACATTTTACTATGTTTCTTTTTCCCCTTTTTAAAAAAATTATTTATTTATTTATTTTTAGTTTTCAACATTCACTTCCATAAGATTTTGAGTTTTAAATTTCCTCCCCCTCCATCTCCTCCCCCTTCCCCAAGACAGCATGCAGTCTGATATAGGCTCTACTTTTATGTTCATATTAAACATATTTTCACATTAGTCATGATGTAAAGAAGAATTAGAAATAATGGGAGGAACCATGGGAAAGAAACAGAATAAAACAACAAAAGAAAAAGAGAACAAAGAGTGTGCTTCCATCTGTATTCAGACTCCAAAGTTCTTTCTCTGGATGTGGATAGTATATTCCATGAGTCTTTTGGAGATGTCTAAGACCCTTGCATTGCTGAGAAGAGCCAAGTCTATCAAAGTCTGTCATCTCACAGTGTGGCTGTTACTGTGTACAACGTTCTCCTGGTTCTGCTCACTTCACTCAGCATCAGTTTGTATAAGTCTTTCCAGGTTTTTAAACAACATATTGTAGGATTATGGTTTGTAATCCAATCTGCTATCAGCTTCCGTTTTATGGAAGAGTTCATCCCATTTACGTTCAGTCATGATTACTATCTGTGTCTTTCTCTCCATCCTGTTTTTCCCCTCCCTGTTTATGCTTTTCTTTCTCATTTCTCCCTTTCCCTTCTCACTAGAGTTTTGCTTTTGACCACCACCACCCTCAGTTGGCCCTCCCTTCTATAAGCCCCCTCCCTTTTCTTCCCCTTTACTATTACTACTTCTCCCCTCCCTTTTATCCACCCCTTCCCTTTTCTGTCCCCTTTCCCCTCCAACTTCCTGTACGTTAAGTCAGATTTCTATATCTAACTTATTATATTATTCACTCTTTGAGCCAAATCTGACGAGAGTAAGGTTCAGACAATGTTCATCTCCCTCCCTTCTTTCCCTCTACTGTAATAGGTTTTTGTGCCTTTTCATGTGATATAATTTACCCTTGTCTGCCTCCTTCCTTTCCTCTTCTCCCAGAGCAATTCCTTTTCACCACTTAATTAGATTTTTTTATCATCACATCAAAGTCAACTTATACCCATGCCCTCTGTCTCTGTATATAAATGTCGTAATAATGATACAATTCTCAAGAGTTACAAGTATCATCTTCCCTCGTAGGGATGTAAACAGTTTGCCTTTATTAATAACGTGTTGTTTTTTCTTTCCTGTTTAACTTTTTATACCTCTCTTGATTTTTGTGTTTGAAGATCAGATTTTCTTTTGAGCTCTGGTCTTTTCATCAGAAAAGTCTAGGAGTCCCCTATTTCTTTGAATATCCATCTCCTCCCCTGAAAGATTATGCTCAGTTTCTCTGGGTAGTTGATCCTTGGTTGTAATCCAATCTCCTTTGCTTTATGGAACATCACATTCCACGTCCTCTGATCTTTTAATGTAGAAGCTGCAAGGTCTTGCGTAATCCTGACTGTGGTTCTATGATATTTAAATTGTTTCTTTCTGGCTGTTTGCAATATTTTCTCTTTGATCTGATATTTGGGAATTTGGCTGCAATTTTCCTTGGTGTTTTCAATTTGAGATCTCTTTCAGGAGGTGATGAGTAGATTCTTTCGATGACTATTTTACCTTTTAGTTCTAGGACCTCGGGAGTTTTCTTTGATGATATCCTGAAAGATGCTGTCCAGACTTTTTTTTTTTTATCTTGGTTTTCAGTTGACTAATCATTTTTAAATTGTCTCTCCTGGATCTATTTTCCAGGTCAGTTGTTTTATCAATGAGATATTTTATATTTTTTTAGTTTCTTTTATTTTTTCATTCTTTTCTTCCTATTTGACTAATTCTTGATATCTCATGGAGTCGTTAGCTTCCACTTGCCCAATTCTAATTTTTAAGGAGTTGTTTCTTTCTATTAGATTTTGTACTTCCTTTTCCATTTGGCCCATTTTACTTTTTAAGAAGTTTTTCTCTTCAATGAGTGGAAGAGCGCAAGGGTGTGCTCAGCAGAGAAAAGATTATATAGATCCCTAACCGCAACTCCTCCTCCCTAACCCCCTTCCTCTCAGCTCATTGGTGCAAGCCTTGAGGGCACAATCTGTTAGCGGCAGTCTACCCCAGCCAACAGGGTTACACAAGTTTGCCAGGAGACAAGAAAAGGCGGGAAGTCTTGCAGTTTAGGTTGGGGGTAGGGTATTCTATTCTTTCTGCTACTTGCTTAAAAACAGGGTCTGAGTGGGCGGGTTTTGACAAGGTCAGAAGGGAGTGTGTTTCAACAATACAATTAGAAGGCCATCTACAACAGGTGTCTCCAATTTCTCTCCTCCCACTTTCTTACTATCTGGCTTTTGACTTTATCTCTCTCTCCAGATGACCAGTGATCTTCTAATTGCTGCCCTTTGTGAGAACTATTAACAAGAACTATTAACCCTTTGAGGAAGCTTCACTTCTGAGAGATCATCTCTCACACTGACATACGTGGTGGTTTTCTGAGCTGGTGTTTACTGATTCCCCTGCCTATGCTGAGGCATTTGGGGGTCCTGGTATTGACGCTTGCCTGCTCCACCACTCTGGGGCTCAGGATCTTCCCCTGGTTTGCTGGGGTGGGGCTTGCTGCTGTCTTGCTGGGACACCTCCCGTCCTGTACTTCTCCCCCTCACCCAGAACAAGAGGGGCCTTTCCTGTTAATCCCTCAAGCTTTCCTGGACTACAAGACTGCTGCACCCCATCTTTCTGCTGGCTCATCTGTTCCAGGGTTTTTCCTGGGGTGATTTTTTTGGGCTTTCAGAGGTTAGTAAGGGAGGGTAAGAGAGACTTTCTTCTTACTCCGCCATCTTGGCTCCCAGAAGTCTACAAAGTCCTCTACTATGTTTTTTACTGATGATTTTAACTTTGAATTCCAGACATCCACTGGCATACTCAATGACATGAGTAGAATGACTTCCAAAAATTGTTATCAATATACATTTGCCTTGCTAGTTCTTTGAAGCAGGAATACTACAAATTATTTGTGATTATTAGAACAATCTGATGGAGATCATACCTGAATGGTAGTTGTAGAAGATACGGCCTTTCAAAGGAAAATAATAATAAATTCCAAGAGGCAACATGGCTTGGTGGAATCAGGAAGACCTGAGTTCAAATTCTGGCTCAGATATTTACTAGTTGTGTGACCCGGTACAACTACCCTGTGCTTCAGTCTCCTCATAAGTAAAATGAGGGGATCGGATTCATTGTCCTCTAAGGATCCCTTCTAGATCTAAAACTCTGACCCTGTGTACTATTTTGGATAAAAGAACATAATTATTTCACAATTCCCTTTTGGAAGTATCATGTGGGCGTTAGTGAAAAGCAATAGGCTTAAATATATTCTCTCTATAAAAATGAAGAATGCACAGTGATCTACATCCCCCTTAACTTACTGTTATTTTTGTCCTTTTTTTTTTTTTTTAATAGTTTGGGTTGCAAAGAATCCTAGGTGATGAAAGAAGCCTTTTGTTGCTAGCAAGGGCAATTGACCCCAGACAGCCCAACATGATGACGGAAATAGTAAAAATACTTTCTGCTATTTGCATTGTTGGAGAAGATAACATGTGAGTAATATTGCATTTTGTTTGCTTCTCAGAAGAAAAATGTTGCCAAATTAATTAAAACTGTGTTTTTCTATTATGTAAAAGACTTACACTGAAAACACTACAAAACTTTAGGGAATTTGTGGATAACCTTTATCTTGCCTATTTTACATTTTAGCACCTACCTTTTCTTTGTTAGTAGAATGTTGAAGATACAATCCTAATGGTGAAGCTCTTATTGAAAGTGAGATTTCCAAAGAACACACCTTATTTATGCTTACTTTATATGCCAAACAGCCATTTGGAAAGAAAAACGAAAAACAAAAACAAACGAATTGTTCATCTGTTCGTTCGATTAGGTGGTTGTTTTGTTTTCTTGTTGTTGAGTCTTTGTTTTCTTTATACAGTAGCAAAAGAAGAGTTAGGGTTAGGGGTTAGGGAGCTGGATCTTGTCTGCTCTCTACTGAATCAGTTATTTGCTCTAGGTTCGTATACTTACAAACTTGTGCCATCTCTCATCTGTGAAGGCCCAGTGTAAATTTGAACCATAACATATAAGAAGGAAAAGGCTGTGCCTACTTACCTACTTAACGAAGTTTGTTTTGAGCTCACTGTACTAAACGTCTACCTAGACTAATGAGGCATTCCAGTCCATACTAGAATTGGTTAGCCTCCTTTGTATGGGGGCTTTTGGGCTGTGAATTGAAATTTCCACCAAATACATAAACTGAAACGTCAAACTTCTGGACCCTTTGTGCCCCTTTGCAGATTCCAGTTTATGTTAGATGGTCAAGCTAACTGTCTCACGTCTCAGTCTTGCTTTGGGTATTCCTTACTTGTTGTGTGTGTAATTACCAGGTTTAAGAGTGGTACAAGAAGACTACTCCTTTTCCATCTCTGTTAGCAAAAGGAATGGTCAGATGTTTTAAAGTCGATGGTTTCTAGCTTAGGAGAAACCAGAACTTTAAGGAGCAGATGGTAAACCATGATCTCAGACTTCATCGTATTTTATGTCGGAACAGTATCACAGTAAAGAATGGCAGGTTCCGTCTAACAAAGGAGTGGTCTCTTAATATTTCAGGGTTTTATTAGTTTTTAAAAGAGAATCCATCCTAAAATCATTTGATGTCATTTGATACTAATTTCAGAAATCTTTTGGGAAGAATAATAGGCTGCATGAAAGCAAATTGTCTTTAAAAAGGGATAAAATGTTACAATTTGGTACTTAGTTTGATAAATTATAACTGTCAAAGATGAAATCATGGGAGGAAGCTAATTTTTGTTGAGATAATTTGATCTGTATCAGACTAATAATAGGCATGTTTCCTTCTTATCTGAGCTTTCGTGTTAGGTATTATTTTCTGTTCCATTGTAAAAGAATGTCAATATCGTTAGCATTGCTTTTTGTTTTCCATGTTGACTTTTTCATGGAACTCATTCATAAAACATGGCCTGTTCCTATTGGCATTAACTAGTATCAACAATAGGTGTCATGTTGTGTTAAATTTGTTGTTGAATAGATGTTAATTTCACTTAGGTGCAAGAAGTAAGATAAAAAAGGAAATGATTGGAATTAGAATATTTATCCTGTAAATATGGCTCTATTAGCATCATTAAGGACTTTCCCCAAAGGTATTCATTCGATCTCATTTTCAATTTGAGGAGGTAGTCATAATTTAAAATTTAATCAGTTGTATTATATTAGAAATGTGTCACAGTAACACATTTTTAAAGCAGTAATGGGGTTTACAAACATAAGCAAAGGGAAAGAAAACGGAAGACTGAAAGAGGAAAGCCATACTGATAATTTGATAATGCAGTATTTTTATCTTTTTTATTGTTTTTCTTATTATTTTCCCCATCAGTCTGGACAAACTTTTAGGCGCTATCACTACAGCAGCTGAAAGAAACAATAAAGAACGATTTTCACCGATTGTAGAAGGACTGGAAAACCATGAAGCCTTGCAGTTACAGGTGGGTTTTGCCCTTTCTCATGTAGCTTATTCATTTGTATTAAGTTCATCATTTGGCGTATTTCCAGTATTATTTTTGGCACCTTTAAAATAGAATGCAGTGTTGAAAGTAAAACTCATGTTATTATAAAAGCTGAACATTTTATTTATGATATAAAGTATTCAATCTTAGGCAATGTCAGAGGTTATTGTGAATGTAACACTTGGGCTGATCAGAAAAGTACAGATTTTCTTTGTGCCATCCATAGACTTCCGGAATCTTCCTATCTCAGTGGATGGAATTACTGGATGTAATCAAATCTTTGGTTCCAGTTTCATTGTAGCGCTTCATGTAGACCAGCCTAAAAAAGTCTTGCTTGGCTGGGAACATAGGCTGAAGATGAAGATTGCCTTTTCCCAGCTGTTTTTCGGAAACAGCCCATTTGATTAGTGACATCTTGGTGGTTATCTCTCTCTTAAAGGCATTAGTGTGGTTTTGTGTGCCCCATGGTGTAAGTGCATTGAGGGATGTTCTGTCATTTGCTATTGTTAAATTATTTAAGTTTTTAAGAATTGATTAGCTGATGGGAGAAAATACAACACTACTTTTCTTTTTATTATTTTTCCAGCAGCAGATAGTAGTAACTGTTTTTTCTTTAAGTAGACAGAGGAATGAATTTTCCTTTCTCAAGTGACGTAAGTCTTCAGTCTACCAACAATATTATCTCTTCCTTCAAGGGTACTTTGTAAACTACTATTGGCACAAGTGAAATTATTATAAATGTTTTAGGTGACTTTTAGGGGGAAATACTCTTTAGTTCAGCTATACCTTATTAAATTAGAGAGATGTTATCTGTAGTGTTTAGAAACTATACTTGTAAATTGCTCCTAGAAAGAGCTTTTAAAAAATTCTGCGATGAGTGTGGCCTGTGATTGTGTGCTGTTACATAGCCCTCTAAATTTCATGCCCTTTCAAACCCTCAGAAAAATTTGTATGGCATTCTATTGCACAATTATTAGGAAAATATTTTTTGTTTAAAAAAATTCTTAAATCTAATTTGGGAGCTGGATTCTGGCATTATTCATCACATGCACTGGTATCTAATGTGGTAGGACACTGAATGAATGTGATTGGAAAGTAACTTTCTGCTTTACTGGATAAAATTCTCTTTTCGTGTGCTTGCTTATTTATTTTTCAGTTAATAAGCATTTATTTTCTCTCCCATCCTTCCTCCATTTAGAAGAAAAAGAGAAAAATACAATCCTCATAACAAATAGGGTTAGACAAGCAAAAAAGTAATTCCTACATTTTTAGCATCCAAAGATGTGTATGTGCATCTTGAATCCATCCCTACCCTGTCAAGACGTGGGCTGTGGCCTTGTGGTGGTCACTGCATTGATTGCAGTCCTTAAGTCTTTCAAAGTTGTTTGTCTTTACACTGTCCTTGTTATTGTCATAAATGTTCTCCTGGTTCTTCTTGCTAACTTCTGATTTAACATCATCCAAATCTTCCCAGGTAGGGCAGAATATTATTTTATTACATTCATATACCATAATTCCTTCTCTCATTCCCTAATTCATGGGTACCCCCTTAGTTTCCTTTCTAATTCTTAATGACAAGGAAGAATTGATTTTTGAAGTACATATAATGGTAATTTTATCTGGAAGTAACTACTGTATCAAAGAATTAGTGATAGAGAAAAAGAAAGCTGGGCATGGTCTGAAATGCATCCTAGATTTTGCGAAAGTAGAGTTGAGAGGATTCATAAGAACAGGAACAATCCCACTGACTTAAAGTCTATATGGAAAATCAGCTGGTGGTAGGGGAGGAGGTGGAAGTTTTTTATTCTTCCTTGGGCTTTTCCTAATGAAATGCTGACTACATAAAGAGAAACATATCTAATGAGGAAAAGAAGGAGTCGTCTAAAGAGATCAATGTAAATTCATAGAAACTCAGTGTCCACTTACACATAAAAAAGCTGTTTACAGAAAATGGAGGCAAAGATGTATTCTCTAGTTTCCCCCCAGTACACATCCATCATGGCTCTTGGAAATGGTATTGCAAAGATAAGTCTGCGTTATTCAGTTGATTACCCCATCAGCTGAACTCCAGAGACTTGGGGCTCTTGACAGTTTTTTTTATTCTTATACTGTAAATCATGCCCTTTTGAAGCTGAATCTGCCAACTCCTCCCACATGTAAAGGGCGTCAGGTGCTAATCCCTACTGGAAAAGGGCAAAGTGGGAATGGTGTCTCTGAAATGAGAAGGTTTGGATCCAGGTATAGCTCTGGCTTCTCAAACCATGACCTGTCCTTGCCATTTACACTGATTAAAAGCTTGAATCTTAATTCGAAAGCTGTAGCAGGTTTTAATGATTAAAAAAACAAAAACAACACTTAGTAGCATTGACTTCATCTAAAAATAAAGAAGGTACAAGTTTTATTTATGTATCTATTTTTAGGCTAGTGTACACATGACTGTCTAAGAGCCAAATCTAGGATCCTTGTTGACCATATAGCCATTTATTTAATGTACTGCTTCAGTTCAACTCTGCACCATTTCGGAAGGGCCTACTTACTGTCTGCCAGGCACTTGGGATAAAAAAACAAAACCAAAAAAAAAACCAAACCAATGAAAACAGTTTCTACCCTCAGATTAAAAATAATACAATACTTAGAATGCAACACTAAGTGAAAGGTATAATGCATTGGAGATTTGGATCTAGAAGGAATTTTGAAGTCCAAGCCCCTTATTTTATAATGGAACATACTGAGGCTCAGAGCATCTAAGTTATCTGCCTTAGTTTATACCAGGTATCAAGTAGCAGGGCAGCTAGGTGGCACAGTGGATAGAGTGCCAGACCTGGAGTCAGGAAGATACATCTTCCTGAGTTCATATCTGACCTCAGTCACTTACAAGCTGTGTGACCCTGGGGAGGTCACTTTACCCTGTTTGTCTCAGTTTCCTCATCTGTAAAATGAACTGGAGAAGGAAGTGGCAAACCACTGCAGTACCCAGGTAAACACCAGATGGGGTCATGAAGAGTCAGAAATGGTTGAAAACAACTAAACAACTTGCAGAGTCAGATTTAGGGGCCAGGTTTTTATTCTAATCTTTCTTTTTATTTTGTTTTCAGTGAACAAAAAATTATTTTTTCTTCTTCCCAAGAACTCTTCCTCCCCAGATGAAAAAACAAAAACCCTTGTAGCAGACATGCATATTCACAGTAAATTTCTGCATTTGTCACATTCAAAAATATGCCTTATTTCCCATATTCTATTATCTTTCATTCAGGAAGTAGATAGCATGCTTCATCATTGATCCTCTGGAATTGCATTGATCAGAGTTCTTAAGTCTTTCAAGGTTATTTTTCTTTATATTATTATATCACCTGTTCTCCAGGTTCTACTTACTTCATTCTGCGTCATTTCATGAAAGTCTTCTCAGGTTTCTCTGCAACCATCCCTTTTGTCAATTTTTACATTATCCCATTAAATTCGTGTGCTATAATTTATTGAGCCATTCTCTAATGAATGGGCACTTTGCTATCACCACAAAAGGAGCTGCTATCACAACTAGGAGACCTTTTCATGCTTTCTTGGATCTCTTTGTGGCACAGTCCTAGTAGTGATGTAACAGTCAGAGACTCTGTAATGTAGTTATTTGGAGGTGAGAGAGAGTGGGGTAGTTCCAAATTGCTCTTCAGAATGGCTGAACCACACCTCCACCAACAGTGCATTAGTCAGTCAATCAGTAGATAAACATTTATTAAGTACCTACTATATGCCAGGTACTATGTGCAGGGTCCATAAGACAAGTCCCTGTTTTCAGGGAGCTCACAGTCTAATGGGAGCTGTCACATGCCCTACGCACAGACAAGATAAAGACAGAATAAATTGGAGATCAACAGGGAGAAGTCCCTAGCATTAAGGGGGATTGGGAAATGCTTCTTGGAGTAGGGGAGATTTTAGCTAGAACTTGAAGGAAGCCAAGATGAGGCAGAGATGAGGAGGGAGGGAATTCTAGGCATGGGGGCCAGCCAGTAAAAATGTAATGTGGTGCTGTGCCCCCAGAGTCACTCGGCTATGTGTACCCTTTAAGTCATAGTTGTGATACCACAACTAAGCCCATACCCCAAAGAATTATGAAAAAACATATATAGATATAAATGTTTATGCAGCTTTTTATTAATTAATAAAGAACTGGAAACTTAAGCAAGTGCCCACCTATTGGGAAATGGCTCAACAAATTATGGTGTGTGTGTATTTATACATATATGCATATATATATATATATGTATATGTCTTTGCATGTATGTACGTATTGAAACATCATTTCACTGTTACAAAGTATAAAATGAACAGTTTCAGTAGCAGCTGGGAAAATCTCTATGAACTATGCAGAGTGAAGCAATGAATAAGTGAATGAAAAATAATTTATTAAACTTTTATTATGTACCTGGCACAGTGCTAAGGGCTGGGAATAAAAATACAAGCCAACAAGCCAGTCTTTACCCTCAAGGAGCTTATATAATATCATCCTCATCATCATCATCATCGTCGTCATCATCATCATCGTCATCGTCATCATCATCATCATCATCATCATCGGCAACACCGGTTGGAATTTCCCTATCACTTTAAAGTTTGAAAATATTTTACGTACGTTATTTTATTATCCTGGCAAATGAAAAAACATAGAGGACTATTGCAACAACCCTCTATTTGTTCTCCTTACCCCAAGGATTTCCCCAATCCAGTTGTCCTTCACTCAGCTATCAAAGTGCTCCTCCACCCAACTGTTCGATAAACTTCAGTAGCTCCCCCTGCCCTCCACGATCATTTATAAAGTTCCTCATGGCCTGCCCCTTTCCTGCCTCTCCAGTCTTCTTACACCCGAATTATGGCCAGGTACTCTGGGAGAAAGTGACTTCCAGGCTGTTCCTTGCACAGGAACCTCCATCTAACTAGTCTGGGCATTTTCACCGGCTGTCCTTTTCTGTGCCTCCTGGCATCACTGG